TTAACAAGGTAGATGGAGAGCATGAAGACTGGTTCCTGCAAATGTCTAGCTATCTAGGATGCAGGAGGGTAAGAAAAATGGTGCCCACCAGTACTTCTGTTTTTAAAGACCATTCCTGCAGTTCCCTTCCCCTCTGGCACATGTCCTAAAATTCGTCAGTAAATCTCCTTTATGTATAACCTATGCACTTTTCAAATTGCTACTTCCGTGCTGGGTCTCATGCTGAGTGAGACTATTTGCTGGCTCTTCAAGAGCAGAGACTTGGTTTCCTGTAGCTCTCCAGCTCTCCTGGAGTTAAGCCCTGTGGATTTTTAAAGCTCCAGGAGTGAGTACCTACTGATTTTCAAAGCCAGATGTCATGGGACCTCATCATCTCAGTGTACCTCAGGGCTGGCGTGGGGCCTGGTCCCCTTGCTCCTCCGTGTGTGCTATCCCTTCCACCTGTGGGTAGCCCGGTTGGTGTTTTAGTTCCTGACCACGTTTGTTTTTCCTGTTCTATTCAGTGTGGATTTCTCTTTACAACTTTAGGGAGATCTGATCTGCCACTCTTCAGGTTGTTTTCAAAGTTAGTTGTAATACATTTAGTTGTTGCCTTGGTGGTCTGGGAGGGAGGTGGTAAGCTCAGGATCCTCCTGCTCTGCAGTCTTTACTCTCTCTTGTCTTCTGCCCTCTTTTTAATCAGGTTATTATTATTGTTGCTGGATTGTATGCATTATTTACATATTTTGAATATTAGACCCTTACCAGATACATGCTTTGCAAATATTTTTTCCCATTCTGTAGATTGTCCTTTTACTTTGCTGATTATTTTTCTGTGCAGAAACTAAATTCAGAGGTTTTTTTTTTTTTTTAAAGATTTTATTATTTATTGGAGAGAGAGATCACAAGTAGGCAGAGAGGCAGGCAGGGAGAGAGGGGGAAGCAGGCTCCCTGCTCAGCAGGGAGCCCGATGTGGGGCTCCATCCCAGGACCCTGAGATCATGACTTGAACCAAAGGCAGAGGCTTACTTAACCCACTGAGCCACCCAGGAGTCCCCTAAATTTAGAATTGGATGTAGTCACATATGTTTATGTTTTATTGCATGGCTTGTGCTTTGGGTGTTGCCTGCAAACAGAGACAGTTTTACTTCTTCCTTTCCAGTTTTGGTGCCTTTTATTTCTTGTCTGATTGTTCTGGTAAGGACTTTTAATACTATATTGAATAGGACTGGTGAGAATGGGCATCCTTCTCTTGTTCCTCTCTTGGAGGAAACACTTTCAACCTCTTCACTGTTGAGTATGTTGTTAACTAAATCATATATGATATTTATTACGTTGAGGTATGTTCCTTCTGTACCTAATTTTTTTAAAAAATATTTTATTTATTTATTTGAGAGAGAGACAGTGAGAGACAGCATGAGCGAGGAGAAGGTCAGAGGGAGAAGCAGACTCCCCGTGGAGCTGGGAGCCCGAGGTGGGACTCGATCCCAGGATTCCGGGATCATGACCTGAGCTGAAGGCAGTCGTCCAACCAACGGAGCCGCCCAGGCGTCCCTGTACCCACTTTGTTCACAGTTCTCACCACGAGCGGCACTGAATTTTGTCAGATGCTTTTTCTGCATCTATCGAAATGATCATCTGACTTTTTCTTTTGTCCCGTTAATGTGACAGAGCACATCAGTTGATTTGCATATGCTGAATCACCCTTGTATCTCAGGTGAAAATCCCAGTTGATCATGGGGAGTGATCCTTTTGATGTGTTTCTGAATTCTGTTTGCTAGTATTTTATTGAGAATTTTTCCATTGGTGTTTATCTGAGACATTGGTCATTAGCTTTCTCTTCTGGTAGTGTCCTTTTCTGGGTTTGGTATCAGGGTAATACTGGCCTTGTGACGTGAATTTGGGAGTGTTTCCTCCTCTTAGTTTTTTGGAAGAGCTTGTGAAGGATTGACACCGATTCTTCTTTAAATGTGTGGTAAAATTTACCGTCTGGTCCTGGGTGGTTTTTGTTTTGTTTTGTTTCGTTTTTTTGTTGGAGGGGTCAGATTTTTGTTTATTGATGTAATCTCTTTATTAGTACTGGTCTGATCAGACTTCATGTTTCTTCCTGATTCCATCTCGTTAGTTTGTATATTTCTAGGAATTTTTCAGTTTCTTCTAGGTTGTCCAGTTCGTTGGCCTATAGTTGTTCATAGTAGCCTCTTATGATTCTTCGCATATCTGTTATTGCTTGTAATGTCTCCTTTTTCATTTATAATTTTCTTAATTCAGGTCCTCGCTCTCTTTTTCATGGTTAGTCTATCTCACGTTTTGTCAATTTTGCTCATCTTTTCAAAGGACCAACTTCTACTTTCGTTAATCTTTTCTCTTGCTTTCCTGTTCTCTATTTTGTTAATTTCTGCTCTCATCTTTATTATTTTCTTCCTTTTGCTTACTTTGGGCTCAATTTGTTTTTCTTTGTTTATTTCCTTAAGATGTAGAGTTAGGTGGTTTATTTGGGATCTTTCTTGCTTCTCACTGTAGGTGTTTACAATCATACCTTGGAGATATTACAGGTTTGATTTTGGGCCACCACAGTAAAGTGCATATCTCAATAAAGTTATTCAGATTCATTTTTTGCTTTCCCAGAGCATATCCAAATTATGTTTACACTGTTCTGTAGTACAATCAGTGGCATTATGTTTAAAAATGTAATCAAAATTTTATTTGTTATTTTAATTAAAAAATAATTTGTTGCTCACAGTGCTAAGCACCATCTCAGCTTTCAGCAAGTCACAGTCTTTTTGCTGGGGGAGAGTCTTGCCTTGATGTTGATGGTTGCTGACTCTTTGGGGTGGTGGCTGCTAAAGGCTGGGTTGTCTCTATTTCTTATTTAATTTTTTAACTTCATTAAAAATTTTTAGTTCCAGTGTAGTTAACATACAGTGTTTTATTAGTTTCAGGTGTACAGTGTAGTGATTCTACAATTCTGTATTACCCAGTGCTCAGCAAGATTACGTCTACTCGTAATCCCCTTCACCTAGTTCACCCACTCTCCTGCCCATCCCCTGCTAGTAACCACCTGCTTGTTCTGTGTGGTTAGGCAGTTTCTTAAAATAAAACAGCAGTGAATTTTCCTGCATAGATGGACTTTTTCTTTGATGAATGATTTCTCTGTAGCATGCAATATTGTTTGATAGCAATTTTCCCCAGTGGGGTTTCTTTCAAAATTGGAGTCATTCCTTTCAAACCCTGCCACGCTTTATCAACTAAATTCATGTTATATTCCAATTCCTTTGTTGTCATTTCAACATTTTCTTAGCATCTTCACCAGGAGTTGATTCCATCTCAAGAAACCACTTTCTTTGTTCATTCATAAGAAGCTACTCCTTATCTGTTAAAATTTTTAGCATAAGATTGCAGCAATTCAGTCATGCCCTCAGGCTCCCTTTCTCTAATTCTGGTTCTTCTACTCTTTCTACCCCGTCTGTAGTCACTTGCTTCACAAAGTCTTGATCCCCTCGATGTCACCCATGTGGGTTGGAACCAACTTCTTCTGTATTCGTGAGTGTTGATATTTTGAACTCTTCTGTGAATCATGAATGTTCTTAGTGGCATCTAGAATGGTGAATCCTTTCTAGAAGGTTTTCAGTATACTTTGCTCAGGTCCATCAGAGGAATCACTATCTGTGGTAGGTACTGCCTTGTGAAATGTGTTTCTTAAATAGTAAGACTTGAAAGTTGAAATGTCTCCTTGATCAGGGACTGCAGAATGGCTGCCGTGTTAGCTGACATGAAATCAACACTAATCTCATCGCACATCTCCAGCAGAGCTCTTGAGTGACCAGGTACATTGCCAATGAGCAGTCATATTTTGAAGAGTCTCCCCACCCCCTGCCCCGCACACAGTAGGTCTCAACAGTAGGCTTAAAATATCTAGTAAACCATGCTGTAAACATATGCACTGTCATCCAAGCTTTCTTGTTCCATTTAGAACATAGAGTAGAATTAGCATAATCCTTAAGGGCCCTATGGTTTTTCGAATGGTCAGTGACCCTTGGCTTCAATTTAAAGTCACCAGCTGCATTAGCTTTTAAAAAGAGTCAGCTTGTCCTTTAAAGCTCTGAAGCCAGGCATTGACTTCTCCTCTCTAGCTATCACAGTCCTTGATGGGGCATCGTTTTCCAACAGAAGGCTGTTTGATCTACGTTGAAAGTCTCTGGTTTCATGTAGCCACTTTCCTTAATTAGCTCAGGTAGATTTCCTAGAGAACTTGGTACAGCTTCTGGATCCGCAGTTGCTGCTTCACCTTGTACTCTAATGTGGTGGAGGTGTTGTCTTCCTTAAACCTCATGAACTTACCTCTGCCAGCTTCACACTTTCCTTCTACAGCTTCTTCATTTCTCTCAAACTTCATAGGGTAGATGAGAATTCAGGCCTTGCTTTGGATGAGGATTTGGCCTAAGGGATTGTTGTGTCTGGTTTGATCTATCCAGACCACTAAAATTTTGTATCAACCATAAGGGTGTTTTGCTTTCTTAGTATTTGTGTGTTCATGGAGTAGCACTTTTAGTTTTCTTCAAGAACTTTTCCTTTGCATTTATAACTTGGTTAACTGTTTGACACAAGAGACCCAGATTTCAGTGTCTCCCTGCTTTTGACATGCCTTCCTCACTAAGTTGACTCATATCTAGCTTTTGATTTAAAGTGAGAGAGTTCACTTGAACACTTCGAGGCCAGTGTAGGGTTATCAGTTGGCCGAATTTCAGTATTGCTGTGTTTCAGAATAGGGAGGCCCAAGGAGAGGGAGAGAGATGGAGGAACAGCTGGTTGGTGGAGCAGTTAAGTGTGCCATCTTGTGTGGGTGTGGTTTGTGGTGCCCCAGAACAATTACAATAATAACACCAAAGATCACTGATGAGCACAGCAAATATAATAATGAAAGAGTTTGAGACTTTGCGAGAATTACCAAAATATGAGCCAAAGAAATGAACAAATGGTGGTGGAAAAATGGCACTGACAGACTTGCTTAATGTGCAGTTGTCACAGACCTTTGATTTGTAGAACACCCGCTATCTGTGAGGCACAGATGAAGTGCCGGGAGATAAGGTATGCCTGTTTTGTTACAGAGTTCCTTCTTAGAACTTTTTTTGCTCTATCCAACAAGTTCTGGTATGCTGTGGTTTCATTTTTGTTTCTCAAAATATTTTTTTAATTTTTCCTTAATTTCTTCTCTAACTCATTGTTTGTTCAGGAGAGTGTGGTTTAATTTTTATGTATTTGTAAATTTTCCAGTTTTACTCTAGTTATTGAATTCCAGTTTCATCTCACGGTGGTCAGAGAAGATGCTTGATATTATTTCAGTCTTGAATTTTTTGAGATTTGTGTTGTGGCTAACATATGGTCCATCCTAGAAATTGTTCCAAGTGCAGTTGAGAAGAATGTGTGTTCTGTTTTGTTGGATTGAATGTTCTATTATGTCTGTAGGACAATTTGGTCTTTATCATTGTTTGAATCCATGGTTTATTTATTCTCTACCTAGTTCATTTGTCATTGTTGAGAGTGGGATATTAAAGTTCCCAATTCTTATTGAAGTGCTTTTTATTTTTCCTTTAGCTCTATTAATTCTTGCTTTATGTATATAGTTGCTCTAATACAGGGTGCATAAATATTTAAAGCAGTTATGGTTTCTTGTATTGATCCCTTTATCATATATAATGACCTTTCCCCCCTTTTTGAGCCATTTTTAATTGAACGTCTGTGTTGCCTGATAGAAGTATAGCTAGCCCAGTTTTTGCTTTTGGTTACCATTTGCTCGAAATATTTTTTTCCACCTCTTCACTCTCAGACTGTGTTTATCTGTAAGGTTAAAGTGAGTCTCTTGTAGGCAACATATTGTTGGATCTTGTCTTTTTATCCATTCAGGCATTCTGTATCTTTTGATTGGAGAATTTAATCCATTTACATGTAATTAATTATTGATAAGTAAGGACTTACTATTGGCATTTTGCAAAATGTTTTTTTTTTTTAATTGTTTTGTAGATCTTGTTCCTTATTTCTTACTGTGGTGCCTTTTTTTGTGTGTTTTTTCCATGTCTTCTGGTGTCCATATGCTTTGACTTCTCAGATATGTTCTTTGGTGTAATTTATACAGGTTTTTCCCTTGTTACCATGAGGCTTACATAAAGTATCTTAAAGCTCTGAACCCTATTTTAAACTACCAATAAATTACCTTTCATATAATTTCTATGCCTTATACTTTGTTTTTTCTCCCTTTTACATTCTAGGAATTGGTGTAACATCTTCAAATTTTTTATATTATATAACTAATAATTTTTGTAGTTATGGGATTTTTTCTACTTTTTTAACTTTTAAACTAGAGTTGGAAGTGAATTACATACTACCATTATTGTACTACAGAATCTAATTTTGATTGTATACTTACCATTACCAGTGAGTTTTACACTGCCTTGTTAGTTTTTATGATGTTATCTAATATCCTTTTGTTTCCACTCAAGCAAGTCCCTTGAGCATTCTTGTAAGGCAGATTTAGTGAATTTCTTCTGCTTTTGTTTGTCTGGGAAAGGCTTTATCCCTCCTTAATTTCTGAAGGACAGTTTCACTGGGTTTGGCATGCTTAGTTGAGTTTTTTTTTTCTTTTAATATTTTGTTTTATTTATTTATTTATTTATTTTAAATTTTTTATTTCTTTTCAGCGTAACAGTATTCATTGTTTTTGCACCGCACCCAATGCTCTATGCAATCCGTGCCCTCTCTAATACCCACCACTTGGTTCCCCCAACCTCCCACCCCCTTATATCATCCCTTTTCTTTGGGCCTAAAAAGTTTCTACTGAGAAATCTGTGGCTAATCTTATGGGCATTCCTCTGTATGTAACTTCTCTCTTTTCTCTTGCTGTTTTAAAAATTCTTTCTTCTTCCTTTGACTTAGGACATTTTAATCATAATGTGTGCCTGTGTAGACCTATTGTGGTTCACCATGTTGTGGTTCACCCTTTTTGGGGCCCTTTGGGCTCCTTGGATCTGGAGGTCTTCTTTTTCTGCCAGGTTGGGGACGTTTTCAGTCATTGCTTTAAATTTTTTTTTTAAGATTTTATTATTTATTTGACAGAGATCATAAGGAGGCAGAAAGGCAGGCAGAGTGAGAGAGGGGGAAGCAGGCTCCCTGCTGAGCAGAGATCCGGATGCAGGGCTTGATCCCAGGAGCCTGGGATCATGACCTGAGCTGAAGGCAGAGGCTTTAACCGACTGAGCCACCCAGGCACCCCTCAGTCATTGCTTTAAATATGCCTTCTTAGGATGCCTGCTTGGCTCCGTGGTTGAAGCGTCTGCCTTCGGCTCAGGTCATGATCCCAGGGTCCTGGGACTGAGTCCCATGTTGGCTCCCTGCTTGGTGGGGAGCTGGCTTGTCCTTCTCACTCTGCCTGCTGCTCTCCCTGCTTGTGCTCGCTCTCTCTCTCTGGCAAATGATAAATAAAGTCTTTACAAAAAATATACTTTTCTTCTCTGTTTCCTTTCTCCTGGATTCCTGTAATATGAATATTGGGTTTTTTTTTTATTCTGTCCCATAAATCTGATATGCTTTTATCACTGTTTTCCATTCTTTTTAAGTTTTTGTTCTAATGACTGAATAATTTCAAATGTCCTATTTCCTAGGTCACTGATTGTTTATTCTGTTTGGTCGAATCCACTTGTAAGGCTCTGATTTGAATTCATTTGTTCAGTATTGTATGTTTTAGCTCTAGAATTTTTTTTTTTTTTACTGTTTTTGTTTCTTTCTGGGGTCCTCATTTGTTCATGCAATGCTTTCCTAATATTTAGTTTTCTGTGTTTTTTTGTTGTTCACAAAACTTCTTTCAGGTGATTATTCTGAATTTTTGAGAGTTCATAGATGTCTTTCTTTAGGGTCAGTTATTAGAGATTCACTAGTTTCTTTTGGTGGTGTCAAATTTACCTGAATTTTTTTTTGTGATCTTTGTTACCTTCCACTGGTATCTGCACATCTGAGTAAGTGTCTTCTCTAAGTTTTTGCCAGTTTGCTTTCGCAGAGGTAGTTTTCATGCATTAGTTCAGTCAGGGTTTCTGGATGTGCCTGTTAGTAATGTCCTTGGGCTGGTGGGGCCTGCTTTTAGGGTTTGTTTTTGGAGGAAGGAACTGAGTTCTGAGGTCAGAGTGGAGGGTTGGGCCATTTGCTGAGAAGAGCTGGGTAGGACTGTTACCTTGGTTTCCTGCCAAAGTGAGGATGTAGGCTGGGTTCCTTGGTTGCCTGGAGTCTTCGGTCAGGCTTAGTTGCTCTGCATCGGGTCCTATGCTCAGCAATAGGTGGGACTACGAGTTAGCTTTCTGTTGTTTGGGAACGAGTGTCCACGGAATATCCTGGTTAGGTGAGGCCACTGGTTTTGCTCCGCAGACGGGGAGAGTCGTAGGCTGCGCTTCCTAGTGAGGTTCTCTCGTCGGGCCGACTGAAGGCTGTATTCAACAGCAGGTAGAGTTATGAATTCGTTTTCCTGCTCAAGCATAGCCGGAGGAGCAGCTCCAAGGCCGCTGAGGCTCTTTGTGGGCTTAGCTCAAGCTGACCTGTGCCCAGGTTCATTGGCCAAGCAAGACCCCTGGCTTTGCTCTGGAGGTCATCAGCTCTGCCCACCTCCCTCCTGGCTGGAGCATTGCTGAGTTACGCAGCAGCTTTGAGATGTTCTGTGCGCTATTTCTGTCAGATGGCACGGGGGGCCATACTCAGCTGCAGATGGGGCTGTGGCTCAGCTCTCCTGCTTGGGTGGCATTGGGAGGGCAATGTCTCAATTTTCCCTAACAGGCTTTCTGGTTGGGAGGGGCTGGGAGCCATCCTTTGTAGTAGGAGAGGTTGACTCAGCTCTTCTGTCTAGACCTGGGTAGCCCAGGCTCAGGGCCAGCAGAACCCTCTGTTTGAGGACCCGAGTCCGGCAGATGCACACGCAGCTGCGTTTCGTGGTCAGACTGTGTTGCCGACTTGGTTCTGCAGATGAGCAGATCCGCTGGTTCGCGGTCCTGCTCAGGCTCTGCAGGGCGAACTTAGTCTCCCGAGACCTGAGTGCTAGTTGTTGCACACCTTTCCCGGCTTCTCTGTAACAGTCACATTCTCCAGGATCAAGCCTCACAGAATCTCTTGGGTACTCCATGGAGCAAAACCAGAGTAGGGGCTCCCACGAAGCCACCCACAGTGTTGGGGGCAGGGTTGGGGAGGGAGAAACCCTGGGCTCTGTTTTGCCGCTGGAGGAAGCATACACTCAGAGCAGACATGGGGGCGTTGTGTGCGCCGGCCTGGGGCTGGGCCGGTGTGGGCAGTGCGTGGTGTTCCTCTTGCCCTTCCTGTGTGGTCTGTCTGGCGCTCTGTGCTGCTGGGGAGTGCTTTGACCTCACGCGTTCTAGGATTCTCTCAGTGCTGTCCTGTCCGTGAGTAGTTGTTAGTGGTTCTTGTGAGGGGAAGTGGGAGTCTGGAACAACCGAAACAACCTTAGTGAGAGCAGTCGTGGCTCGTTCCTTAGTGGCAGAGTCCCCAGTGTTTCCTTGTTTGGCTTGCTCTAGCCAGCGCGAGGGGCCGCCTTGCTCACCGTTCATCGCAGGAGCAGGGAAGTCGAGTTGAGCTGGAAAGCCCTTTCTCTCTGAAGCCCGCTCTGCAGAGGGTGGGGACCCGGGGAAGCCGGCAGCATCTGACAGTGCTGGGCTGAAGTTGCTCCTAGGACCGGGGGTGCAGCTAGTGCTGTCGGAGAGCCGAAGGAGGCTCCTGGGTGGTGGGCACACACTCGCAGGGCCTGGGAAGGGGCGCGGAGTCAGACCTGGGTGCACAGTGAGCTTGTGCGCCTTGGAATTGCGTACAGGTGGATGGTGACTGCGCCGTCAGCTCTGCGGGACGTCTCGTGCCATGGCCCCGTCCATCATTCCCGCCAAAGCTCTGTCTCTACCGGTCCCCTCCCAATCTCATCATACTTTTTAATGGGAAGGTTCTCGTTTGTGTCCGGTCAGAGTTTTTAAAGAGATGGAGTTAGTGGCTGGAACTGGTTCTGTGGGCTGGTGGGAATGAGCCATGGCTGGCCGGTTCGGAGACGTGACACT